GAATTCTGGGAGTTGAAGTCCACCCATCTTAAAGTTGCCAAGGTTGAGAGACACTGGTCTAGGTTGTGTCTCTTCCTTCTGTTTCCCAAAGTCATTCCCACATACCTTTACAGGCTTCCTGTGAGGCTGGAAAGTTGTAGTATACAGATCCAGGATGGAGCCCCAAACCATGGCTTGATGTTACACAACTGGTTGAGTTCTAGTTAGGACTTTCTTTGCTACTGGTATTGCATGGCTTTTTTTGGGGGGGGGGCAATTAAAACATACTTCAGATTGAAAAAGCAGAGGCCGATTCCCCTGTCCTTTGCCGCTCTTCTGTGCCATCTGTAACTGTACTGAATATCTGTAAAAGGAAAGTATTGTAGATGTAGTATCTGTAAAAGGAATGTAAAAAGGAATGTTTTATTTGACTGCTTATGTTCAACAGGCCTGGGCCATGGGACGTTTGTCGCAGGGGTGATAGCTAGCATGAGGGAGTGCCAAGGATTTGCTCCAGACTCCGAACTGCACATATTCAGGGTCTTCACTAACAATCAGGTAAAGAGGGGACCCGTGTAGCATAGTGGTTAAGGAGTTGGACTAAGACTGGGGAGACCCAGGTTCCAGTCCACCCCTAGCCATGGAAGGTCTCTGGGGGCCTTTGGGCCAGTCCCTAATCTATCTCCTAGGCTTGTTGTGGAAGTAAAAATGGAGGAGGGAATGCTGCAGGTGCCATTTGAGCTCCTGGAAAAAAAGCAGCATGTAAATCTAACAAATAAATATAAAGAGAAGTCAGTGCAAGGCTTCTGGCAGCAGTCCTCCACCTGGTACTCTCCAGGCACACGGGATGGCATCTGCCAGAATTCCTAGCCAGCATCTCCGGGGAGCCGAACTGGGAAAGCCCTTTTTAGGGAGTAAACCCTTTGTTCTCCATGCATTATATTGGCCTCCCTTAAAGGCCTTTTATTTGGAGAAGTTCCATCTAAGGTATCTTGAAATCAGTTTTGTGGTTCTCAAAAGAGAGCTTGTTTTAAAGAGTTTGGCTCCAGATACCAGTGTGAAACTCTTAATCCTGTTTTTAGTGGTAAAATTGGGGTTTTAAGACTGAATTCATTGAAGAGAAATGAATTTTTGAGAATAAGAAAGGCATCTGTTTGGGGGTGGAATCCGGGGAACCTTTCCTTCCTTCCTTCCTTCCTTCCTTCCTTCCTTCCTTCCTTCCTTCCTTCCTTC